ATATTTATGTATCAGCCTATTTACAGTATTTGCTTTTTTGGAAATGCAGCATTACTTTGTCATTTGCATTATTTGTTACATTGTAAGGGGAATAACATAATAGAAATACGTTATTAATATGTCAAATATTCCCACAATACAAAATAAATTTTATTTGCCTCAGATAAACCCACAGAGAAGGTTCGACCCTTTTGGTAATACTAAAATTTGTCTGGAGGCAAGGAAATATCTCAGGAGATAAAAATTTTAACCACATCTAGTAAACAATCGATATTTATTACGTTATCATTACAACTACGGAAATATATACATTGAAAGGTGTTTCAAACAATAGGTACTTAATCAGAACGATATACAGTTTGTCGGGACGTGCTCCTTTCTCGCACCAAACCTACACTACACACTTCACGCCTCAGGGTGAATCGTAACACTTTATTATATGTAAAGCGGTATCTCAACGTCACCGATACACACTGAATCGTCACGTTTACAAGGTGAATGATAAATTAGATTTCGTGAAGAGACAGATGCCCCTCCCGATAATCTATAAAACATATATTTACAAATTGTGTCGTACGAGACCAATGCCCCATACGACTTGACACGTCAATTAATCTGAAGGCGGGTGTAATTAATTTGAATAGACTACCGACGCACGAGACATGTGCCTCACGCGGATTAACACGCAAGAAATACCCTAAAGGTCACCGCACTTCGGAGACAAAATATTAAGGAAAATTAGCTCAATCTTACGACTAAACGCCTAATAAACTGACTGCGTTAAACCATATTAATCTCAAACGCACGGTAATATTCCTATGCGAGATATATACCCCACACGGTATAGTATACGTAAGACAACATTTCATCTAAACTCTTCGTGGGCCTTTAAAATACACAAATAAGATCAAAATCAAAAGGGGCTTTAAATTAGAGAATAAACGATAACCTAACACTCTCTATAAACGTGTCGCCATGCGAGATAATTACCCCACACGGAACACAACCTGCAACTTAATAAATTACACACTTTTTTGGTTTTTAGAATACTACTAATATTGAATAGCAATTCTACAGGGGACTTCAAATTAATGGATACAGGATACAATAACACTCTCTGAAAATAAAATTAAACTTTATCCTCGCTTAACCTACGGAAAAACTAAATGGAATACTCTGAACTAAAATTTCACTGACTTTTCATTTTACAAAAACTAAATCAAAATGACTTCTTACTTGAAATTTAGGGGGCCTTTTTATAATCGAACCGACGAGGACGAGACAGATGCCTCCGCTCGATTATAAGATATAAAACTTCTAAAAGAATCTAGAGTCTCGAGGTGAGACATTTGCCTCTAACCGAGGGTTAGAACGTTCGATACTGTACGGACTCGATACTAGAGAATTAAAATCGAGACAACTTGGAGAAAATTGACATTAAAATCTGAGTTTGTCAAAGAATTAAAACTTACGACTTTTGGAGGAACACTTACCCATATAGAAATATGTCCCCGTCGGCAATCGGCGACACTACACTCACTTCCGCCATCGACGAAAATTTGCAACTTGATTACTAGACGGTACGGCCCTGAATGTCCATTGGTCACCTCCTAGAGCTCCTTCCCTCTCAAGGTTGTGGTGGGGAGGCAGCTAAATGACGGTGGCGCCTGACGTACGCCACGGCAGATCTGCGATTTACTTAACTCGCGGGAAATTTTAAATTCACTGTCACAACATAACATAAAATTATGAATATTTAAACTGAGCTGCTCTCTACTGTACCTCGGGTAACTGAAATAAAGGGGGGAGAGCCGTTTCAGATAACCAATCTTTCTGTTAACCCATCATATATGCTAAAAATAGCCTATATATTCCCATGGTGTGTAGGAAAAATTAATTTTAAACCATGTCTATACAACACAGGGTTTTATTTCAGCCACAGAAATGTTACAATGGGTTAGAAAAGGGAGCGTATCATAAGGTCCAAATTTTACAAAGTCCAACGTTTAAAATATTAAATAAACAGAGCGTTTCACAAGGTCCAAATTTCATAAAGTCCAAAACTATAACATTCAAATAATCACCGTTTCATAATGTCTAAATTTCACAAAGTCCAACGTTAATATATCAAATAAACAGAGCGTTTCACAAGGTCCAAATTTCACAAGGTCCAACGGTACAGTCTGGGCCAGAAGTCTCTACAGTGGTTGCCCCAGTCAGATAGCAGGCACCGTCCGCGGGCGCTCAACTACTGATTACTGACGTGCATTTAATGATTGAAGAACACTTATCTGTGTGACTGAACTATGTGTTAACACATCAATGTGCAAATCAAATACATTTTAGCGAATTTCCCATATAGGGAATATTAGCGAATTTCCCATATAGGGAATAAGCTATTACCGTAGTACTCATGGTAAGACCTGGACGCGGGACCGATTTTTTTTTCGTTTTGAGGTCCCTAGAGGCCAAAAACACCATTCGTTCAAATTCATATATATATATATAAATATTTATATATTTATATATATATATATATATATATATGTGTCCGTTAGCACGATAACTCGAGCAAAAATGATCCGATTTTGATGAAATTTGGTACAAACGTGTAAACCTACGTTTATTCGAACGAGTTCGCGATCCAGCATGATCGGACCATGGGAACGGGGTTTTATGGGGTAAAAATAGGTTTTTCCCATTTTTGACTCAAAAAAACATAAAATTTGGCAATTTCTTTCTAAACCATTTTGTAGCTTAAAAAAACAAATAATTTAGTATATTGAAGCGTTATTATGCGCCTAATGGTTACGGAGAAAATTTCAAAAAATTGTTAATTTAAAATTCCCATGTTATTCTTATGGAGAATAAGTAAACTGTTGTAGTTTGTTTGTTTATGAACATATTTTGATCGAATTTTGAAATTTTTTTATTTCTTACTATTAGCATTTTACAAAAAAAAACAAAAAAAAACAGTTTTACCCTCCCTGATGCAGCATAAAACTCCCTTAAGTACTTTTTAAACTAATTCTATTTAAATCGGGAATAAATGTTATATTTTTAAGTAGACATTTCAGTGTAAATCCAATCAGTCAAATGGAAATTCGCTTAGTCTGCAGGTTTGCTGCGGTGGGGGTATTTATATTTTTAATAGCTTTAATTCAAGCTTTCAGCTGAGTTTCTTAACTGTTCCGTCTCTCAATTAAAAATCCATTACAAATATCGGAAGAGATCATTTTACCGATAAAAAAATTTTAAACGTATAACTATGTTTTATAAGTATACTAGCTGAACCCGGCAGACGTTGTCTTGCCATTGACTATTTATAATCCCGCGGGCTTTGCCCCGTTTAACTTCTTAATTTTCAAGATGATCTCGTTCGCATGGCTCAATCACGTCCTGGTTGAAGTTCGTTCGCTACGCTCACTCACCTTTAGGTTGGAGCTCGTTCGCTACGCTCACTCACCTTTAGGTTGGAGCTCGTTCGCTGCGCTCACTTGCCTTCAGGTTAGCTCGTTCGCTACGCTAGCTCGCCTCCAGGTTGAAGTTCGTTCGCTACGCTCACTCACCTTTTGGTTGCAAATTAGCTGTTGTCATAAATGTAAAAGAAATAATAGTGCTGCACCCTGTTGGTAATCCTTGTAACTTTAATGCTATTGAACATCATAGAACAGAACCAACTTGTTTAATTGAAACAGCTGTTAAGATTCATTAATTCCATTTCTCATAAGGTTAACATGGGAAACTCCAGAACCACTGGGGCGGAGCCGATTGGACGGATCACGAAATTGATGGTGTATAAACCTATTCCATGACATTCTACACGTATGTACCAAGTTTCGTGGCAATCGGTTCAGCGGTGTCTGAGTTTATCACTGCCAAACAAACAAACAAACAAACAAATATATATACAAACATCCTCTTTTATACTTATAGATTTTCTTATTCGTATTATCATAGGTTATCCTTTAATCTATGGTATTATTTAAGTTCAAATCATATGGTTAGTAAATTGTTGTATTTCGTGTTTTGTTAAGTGTTTTTAATAAAGTGTTATGACGGAATTTATTGAAACTGTGAGTGTAAGGGAAAGCCAAGTTTGCATTATAATGGAAGTTCTTATCGGATATATCAAGAAAACAAACTTATGGAGAATAAAAAAAAACTGTTGTGGTTTGCTTGCTTATGTATATACTTTGATCAAATTTGGAAATGCTTTTATTTTATACTAAACCATTACCATAAAAAAATACCCTCCCTGTTGCAGCAAACCTAAGTACGATACTTGTTAAACTAATGCTATTTAAATAGGGAATACATATGATCATTTTAAGGAGATATTCTAGTGTAAATCAAATAAGGGAAATGGAAATTCTATTAGTCTGCAGGTTTGCTGCAGAGGGGATAAATACCACTACTTTACACTCTTTAACGTATCTACGGACCCACAATGATGTTTTGTGACGCGTGGCAACAACACTACTACTTATCTATCTATTTACGATTAAGTAGATCGTGTAGTGCCTACATACAGAACCACTGCAACCTCTGCAGCGACTTCTGGCCGAGATTGTACCGTTGGACCTTGTGAAATTTGGACATTGTGAAACGGTGATTATTTGAATGTTATAGTTTTGGACCTTATGAAATTTGGACCTTGTGAAACGCTCTGTTTATTAATATTTTAACCGTTGGACCTTGTGAAATTTGGACTTTATGAACCTCACCCTTAGAAAATACTCTAAACTAAACAACTGGAGTTACTTAAGCATATTATTTGACGTATTACAGTACTTATATTTTAGCCCTGTATTATTTTATGGAACCGTTTCGGTTAACCCGGGTTCGGTTAACTGGGGTTCTACTGTTCTACTCTAGCTAAGTAGTTTTTACTTTCCTTAAAGTGAGTTTTAATGTACCTTACAACTGTGAACAATGTACAATGTATTGTAAGTTCTTTGAATTGAGAAAATAAAAATATATTCTGTTATATTTTTCAGGAACGAAGCTATTAAGCGTCTTGTAAAAAAAATGGAAAAAGACCAAAAGAAACCAACCTCACAAGTAAGCGCTAAACAACAGATTAAGAAGAGAACTAAGGAAGATTCTCAAATGAAAAATATTATGGAAGCAGCCAAAAATTCATATTCAGTAGAAACCTCATTTTGCTCTGCTACACTTAAAGTATTCAGAGAAGAGCAAGAATCTGACCTAAGTGACATGGACAATGATGAAGACGATGATGATTTGATGTGATCGTCTTACTGTCTCATCTTATGTTCTTATAAATCTGTACTTTACATTTAAATCAAATATTTGTTAATCTAACTTTATAATTATTGAATACTGTTTGTTTACTATTAATTATTTTATATTTTTGATTTTGATTGTTAACATCCTCAAACCGTTTTGCTATGCTGTAATTTGTTTTAGAGAGTTTGGGGAGTTTGTGGTATATTTGCTTTATAAATAAAATTTTAAAGACAATTTTTGGAGAGATTTTTATTTTTAAAAAGAGGATTCCTTATCGTAATTTTTATATGTTTTAAGATCTTTATCCTTCTTTGAAGGGTATTTTCCTTTCAGAGTCCAAATTTTAAAGATGTTCATATATTTTAATTTAAATTAAATTTAATTAATTATTTAATTATTAATTATTAATTATTATTATTATTATTCATTATTTAATTTAATTTTAAAGGCGGTACAGAGAAAAGAATAAACAATAACAGTAAAAATAAAAAAAAAATAACAATTCCTCAGTTAACAATGAAATACTAAATTTAAAAAAAACAACGTTATGCTACCTATACCAGAGAGATGGAAAACTCTTCTATAGAATATTTATTTACAACTACTGCCATAGCCATTAGTACCCCAGTCAGTACATGCCAAGTATGGCCGTATATACGGGGTGTCCATAAAAAACGTTTCAGGACTTTGGGAAATAAATCCTCATACTAAAAGGAAGAAAAAAGTTTATGTGAAAATGCATATTTACCCAGTTATCTGCCATTTTGTTTTTTATACAAAAATATTTTTATCTGTGAAGTTTTTCATTCGATGATTATGAAATTTGGTAACCATGTTAACATACACAAGACCTATAATAGAAAAAATAATAAAGTTGTTCCTAATGTAATATTCAAAATGGCGGCCGTTTTAATTTTTCTAACTTAAATAACTCATAATTTATAAATAAAAAACTTTTTTTTAAAACAAAACGTTTTCAAACGCACTAAAAAGTAGAAAATAATTTATAAATATGTTGAGAGTATAAATACTTGTAAGATCTAAAACGAAAAACGTGGGGTGCATGCAATAGATAATTTACAATTACCTTCACCTATTAAACTAATGTATTTTTATCAATTAATTGCATGCACCCAACGTTTTTTGTTTTAAATCTTACAAGTATTTATACCCTCAACATATTTATAAATTATTTTCTACTTTTTAGTGCGTTTAAAAACGTTTTGTTTTAAAAAAAGTTTTTTATTTATAAATTATTTTCGACTTTTAGCGAATTTCCCTATAGGGAAGTAGCTATTACCGTAGGTGGCACGGTAAGACCTAGACCCGGGCCCGATTTACTTTTTCATTTTGATGTCCCCAGAGGCCAAAAACACCATTCGTTCAAATTTTTATATTATAGATTTATATTGAGATAAAACATGAATGTACTCATATGTGAATTGTAACTAAATTACTTTCAATATTTAAATTAACTGTATTTAAATATTGAATTGTATTTAAATATTGAACTGTATTTAAATATTAAATTTCAATATTTAAATTACTGTATTTTCAAAAAGAATATTTAAATTTAATGAAATATAATTAGTGAAGAAGAAAAACTATATTCAAAAATAATATTCTAAAATTAAATGGTGTCTAGGTAGGAAATATTTCTTTTGTACTGTCCAGTGTCCAGGTGTGAAGTAGCATTGTTGGAAGGAAAGCTAAAGAAAAGGAAGAAAATGGCTTGTGGTGGAAGATATAGAGAGAGATGGATGTGGGAGCCAAGTCTCCAGTGATTTAAATATTCAAAAGTAAAAATTAACATTCAGAATACATATAAATATTGAATATAAAGAGACATAAAGAAAGAAGATAATCACTATTCAACAAAATTGGTAATATCAACTTCAATTAACACTTCAAAAACTCATCATCAATTTCCAACCACCATCACACCATTGTGAATTGACTAAATTCAAGTGACTTTCAAATTAAGAACTTATAGCCTAAATTGTTTGACTCTCATTATTAGCCTATCTCATATTATTTAGCCTACTTTAGTACTGTATAAATTAAGTTAATTAGCCTATCGGAATTTCATACCCGGCACGAACCAACCCCTAGATTAAGATAATTTTCTCTCCAAATTGTTATCTAGCCTAGCCCATCAAAAACCTAGACCAAAATATAATTTCACTGTCATAGCCCAATGAGATTGTTGTAATAGCTATAGAACCTAAATATATTTTATTGTAACTTAATTGGAATTTTATTATCTATTTTAAGTAAATTCATATTTTGAAATCCATTAATAAAGAGGAGTAGGTTGCAAAATGGCGCCCAACGTGGGGCTATTGAAAATTCTGATCTAGGCCTAACCTACGATTAACCTACACAATTTAAGATAGGCCCTAGTAACCAAATTAACAGTTTTAAGTCTTTAACGTGCCAAGTGCCAAGGGGCTTTTTCCTTTCGTACATCAATTCATAAACCCGAGGCGATAGCTTACGTTTAATAACAAATGGGCCGATAAACTTGGGAGCGAGATTTGCGGTGAAACCCTTATCAGCGTTAGATAAGACGTAATTCCTACGGTAAACTTGATCACCAACACTGAATTCTGCAGGCCGGCGGCGTAAATCGTAATGTCTTTTCTGTGTTTCAGATGACCTAGATGAGTTTTCACCAACTAGTTTCTTAATCCGTGAGATTTTCAGTCTGAGCAAATCAACGTGTTCGTCGGGAGTCATATGGTTTGACACTTTACTGTCGACTTTCTCAAATCGAAGCGAACCAGGTTGTTTTAATTCACGGCCAAAATTTAAAAATGCGGGACTGAACCCGGTCGACGAATGTTGCGCTGTATTCCACGCAAAAACCACTTTGCCAATATGATGGTCCCATTTCCTCTGATTTTCCTCACAATACTGGCGAATCATAGTTTTAATGGACCGATTCGCACGTTCGACAGGGTTAGCCTGAGGGGTGTAAAGAGGTGTAAAAACATGTTCAAATCCATACACTTTTGAGAGTTCCGAAAACACTTTACCGCTGTATTGGCTGCCGTTATCACTAGTCCATATTTTCGGCACGCCGTGGCGATAAATAACTAGCCTCTTGAACGCGTCACTGACCGCTTGAGCCGTCGCACTACGCAGGGTCGCGTATTCGATCCACTTAGTGTACTTATCTTGGAACAATAGTATATAACAGTTGCCTTTGGTCGACCTCGGTAAGGGACCCATTAGATCAGTGCTGACATTTTCCCTTGGTGACCCCACCGTACGGATTCCCATGGTGCCTTGAGTCCGCCTCTGGTCAATCTTGTGACGTTGACACGAATCACACTGTAATACGAAATCACACACATCGTTGTATACGCCTGGCCAATAATATTCTGACGTCACGCGTACAAGAGTCTTGTCCCGCCCGAGATGACCGGCCGTAGGCGATGAGTGACATTCCGTTAACACTCGCTGTCTATCTTCGGACTTGACGCACAATTTCCAAGGATCCGCCCCTACCAGATGATTGTGTTTGTCGGGACAGTGACGCAATAAGGCATTGCTAACAATTTTGTACTCATTCATTTTTTGGGACATTCTGCGGGATTGTTCTGGACGCTATCATAAATGGTATCATACCACGCATCGGACGTACTGTTGACAGCGCTAACTTCTTGAACGCGCGATAACGCGTCGGGTACCACGTTGTGACGTCCCTTGCGGTATTGAATGTCAAAGGTAAACTATTGAAGTTCTAAACTCCATTTCGCCAATCTACCAGTTTGATTTTTAATTGAGTTCAACCATTTTAATGCCTGACAATCAGTAACAACTGTAAACTGATGCCCCTCGACATATTGCCGAAACTTCCTTATGGCGTGAACTACGGCAAGACACTCTTTTTCACACGCACTATATCGCCTCTCCACGTCTGACAGTGCACGACTGTTATACGCGATCACTTTCTCCTCGCCTTGTTGCACTTGCACTAATACACTACCAAGACCGGTAGCGGAGGCGTCTGTTTGCACGATAAACGGTAAATCGAAATCGGGGCAGACTAGAATTGGAGCTTGAGTCAGTTTCGTCTTTAATTCACCGAAAGAATCATCTTGTTCTTTTCCCCACGACCATTTCACATTTTTCTTCAAAAGATGATTTAGTGGGTTTATTACATCAGAAAATCGGGGCACGAACCGCCGGTACCACTGTGACATACCGATAAACCGTCGTAATTGTTTGACGGTTTTCGGGGCTGGGTAAGACACAATCGCCCGCACTTTTTCCTTATCAACGGCGATACCTTTGTTACTTACAACGTGCCCTAAATACACTAACTCCAAGCGACAAAACTTACACTTCTCCTCATTAAGTTTCAATCCGGCTGATCTCAATCTGCGAAACACTTCTCGTAACAAGGCAAGATGTTCGTCAAAACCCTCACTTACTAAAATGACGTCATCCAAGTAGGGAAACGCCCGATCCTCTAGGTCATTACCTATAACTTTGTCAAGTAGGCGCTGAAAGGTTGCCCCGGCAGAGTGTAACCCAAAAGGTGTTACTTTAAATTGGTACAGACCCCTACCCGGAACCGTAAATGCCGTATACTGTTTACTTTCTGGATCTAACGGCACCTGCCAATAACCATTTTTCATGTCTAACGTAGATATATATTTAGCCTTTTTCAATTTGTCCAAAATAGCAGATATGTAGGGAATCGGATAAGCGTCGGGAATCGTACATTTATTGACAATCCTAAGATCCTGAGCGACACGATATTTACCTGAAGGTTTTTTAACTAACAAGAGAGGGCTACTCCATGGACTTACAGATGGTTCAATAATATCGTTGTTTATCATCTCATCGATCTCATCGTGCAATATTTGTGTCATCGGGGGGGATAGAGGATAGTACCTTTGTTTAACCGGTACAATGTCCGGTTTAGGGCGAATGACATGAGAGATAACGATAGTCCGACCGGGAACATTGTTGAACAGTGATAGTTCATAATCTAAAAATTCTTTTAATTTCGTGTTTTGCTCATTTGTAAGTTCTTCTATTACAGCTATGTTACTATATTTGTTACTTTGTGTTGTATTCTGGGCTTCTAACGGTCCGAAAAAGCTTCTTATACTCGGGAATAATTGATTTAACGAGTCCTAGTATAACATCTACAGTTATACCTTTAATAACACTAACTACACACTGTATTGACCTGCCATCGTATGTAATGTTTATGT